CATTCCCGCTTAAATTCTGGCATTGTGCTTAGCTAACCTCAATAACTAAACATCGGAAAGCCATTTCCAGCTATAATCAATACGATTGGAAAAGCGATGACTCGATTCTACCAATAAATAAGGGATTATTTATTGCAGCTAGTACCATGTAAGCTAATGCATATGTCAATTGTAGAAGAAATGGGTGTCACCAACTACCCCCCTTCGCGCCCACCCACCAATGTTATGAAGGACTTAGTATAGCATCCTAACGATCTACTAAAACATGGGCCGATTTAAATTTGATTTCAAACTTTATAAGTGGACAAAATATATCAATTGCATGCGTGTCGGTATTTTTGTTGTATAAAGTGAACAAAGAGCTCTTTCGATTTCTAAAGGAAAATCGGAGATAATTTCTCTAATTTTCGCCATTAACTTTATGGGGCAACAGATTTATCGTCTTCTTCCACTTTTTACTACCCGTCAGAGTTTATTGTAAAAATAGAATTTTTTTTCTTTTATTTTAAGTAGTAAATCGTACGGAAATAACACCCACTAAGTCTTCATTATCAGTGTGTGTGTGTGTGTGTGTGAGTTAGTGAGTGAAAGAGAGACCAAAGCAACTAATTTACCCAAGTTAGTGTAAATGAATATCAACACTTGAGATATTTTCAGTATAACAGTGATTGTACTAAAGAAATGATAGTGGAACAAGAGAAATCAACCCCCGTAGATTAAATAAAGAATTCAGTTCAATATTCCTAGAATGTTACCCGGATTGGAAGGGTGGAGGATGCAACAGTCGAAACGAGATAAAGATGAGGACAATAGTCCGAATAAAAATAATGATAACTCCCCATCCCAAAAATTCAGGGAGAAACAATAAAAAAAAAAAAAAAAAAAGAAAAAAAAAAAGAAGTCATTTTTAACCCTCACAAAAAGACAGCATGATAGGACAGCGTTCATAATATAATCAAGCGATCATTTTGAATGAAGTCACTTAAAATCAAAACCTTAATGTTATCTCACGACAAAATACAGAACTTTTAAACTACACAATGAATGTTTGCGCTGCCATTTCGACATAATTCTGTATTGCGTTTTTATGGAATTTCTCTTGCCCTCCATTAGTTGACTGATTACTGTTTAGAGTTTTATGATTCCTGAGAAAAGTTAAATGCCAAAAACATTTTGCCATCTTTCTATACCAATCATTTGCTCTTATTTCTTTTACACAACTATTTGAATATAAACAGATTTTATGCTCGGTATTTCTTATTTAGGAGAATGGCGTGGTTCTTTAGTGGGTATTTTAAAAAATTATTATTATTATTATTTTTGCTGTATTAATAAAAATATCTTACACACACCTGTGTATATGCGCATGCGTGAATAAGTTGCTCTTATTTTAAATTAGACTCATGTAAATTTCTCAGTTTTTTTCCTAGTGTATTCAGTTATTTCTTTTTGCAGAGGGTGCATGTACTTTTCTTAAAACGATTATTAAACTTTAAGTGAAATTCATGGCTGACTATACGAGAGTTGCTTAAAGTTCTCGGGCTGACCAAAAAGTTCTTTACCCCCATCATTTCCAAATTCTGATGTTCGATCAATCGATCATATTTTGGAAAGTGGGCTAGGTCGATAACTTTACTGCATCCCTTCGTGTTTATATATAACATAATATGCAGAAAAATCAAACGAATTAAATTATAATAAATGATATAATACCATGACTTCAGGAGATATTTCTTTGTATTCTTTTTTGTTCTACACATATATATATTATATTGTACAATAAAACAAATAAGGACGCTATAAATAAGACCAGTGCTCGATGTAAATTATAAAAAAATTATGTGTAAACAGAGTTTTGTGACCCGTATTGGGTGACTGTTAATGATAAAGCACAATTCAAGACTTCAATGTTAAATAAACAGTATTTAATTACAAACTGCAAATAAATATGTAACACAACAAAAGTAGTAATAGTCAATCAAAGCTTATTAGCAAATTCAGCGAATACCTTATTAGTAGATAGTCATTCGCTAATCAACCAATAGTCAACTCTTAGTCCACTACCGTCAGTAGGCTGACACTGCTATTTATATACATTTATATACATAGCGGAAAAAATATTCATTAGTCACGCTCGAACCTCGGTGTCGATAGTTCTCATTTTCTTCCTATAGGACACAGAGCAAATGTAAAAAAAAATATTGCAGCTTTTTCGCGGCTTAGTTTCTTGTGAACCCTTAGCTTTTTATACAACTGTTTTACAATCTTCAGGCGGTTCAAGGGACAATATACTGAATTTTATGTTTTTTTATTTCTCTCTCTCTCTCTCCCTCCCTCCCTCCTTTCCTCAAAACACACACACCACACAATAATCAATTTCTTCACATGGTGGGTCCCTTCAGATTTTGTAACATTAAAACACGTCTTTTTTGTTATTTATTAAACTTTACAGTAGGAAAAAAGTCCACATATATTGCACTAGATGATGTTTGGAATTTCATTTCTAACAAAATCTCGACTCTCTCAATCGCAGTGTCCGCCTGTGGAATTATCGCATATCTTATGACGTATTTAAAAGATTAAATAAGAGAATTGATTTTTTGCAGAAGTTAATAATACCCTATTCACTGGAAATATATTTGGAAGTAATCTATACACTGACGCCACGGCCATATTGGCTTACAGGTTTTTTTTTTCTAACGAATGAGATTTACTGCATTGATTTACATCTGCTTTCGAATGTAGCGGCGATGCGCTGTCAACCCCCAAATCCTTAATTCTTTAGAAATGTTGGCTTCAAGGAAAATGTGCAGCATATTCGAGATCGACAGCTTCTAGCAACTATATGCGATTTATCGGCGATTTTTGAGAGACATGTTCAAACACTTTGTTAGAAAAAAAAAGACATTTTTCAGATTGCTGTCACAATCACTGTCATTTTTTTCCTTTCGCATCCAATAGTGGCAACTCCCATAACGATGCAGATACAACAATATAGCATATTTCATATTGGCAAATATAAATGATCTCAAATTCACATGAGTTAACGGCAAATGCGAGAAATATCTAACTTATTCATAGACAAAAATTTCTATAATTCTTTGATCCTAAACATTAATAATTTTTAGGAGTCAAATGAGACAGATTTACATTTTTTTAAAGAGATATGACGTAAAATTACTGTTAATTAACTATATTTCATAGCAATCTCATTATAAAATGTCTATTAATTACAGTTGTTATTAACTACTTAGAAACGGTTGATTAGGCATTTCTTTATCCTGAATCTTTTTACCTTATCAGTGAAGTGGAGAGCTGTTCATGACAATTCGTAGATGGATAATGGAAGTTAAAGCAATGATTGTTCTGGAATAGCAGACGAGGTACCTCAAGAGATATCTCTTTGTAGTGGGTCATTTTAGTCTAACTGAATCGGATAGTGAGCATAGAGAAAGCGGAGATATTGAGCGATGTACTGAAAACAATACTTGTGGAGCGGCTTGAGAGACATAATGTCGCACAAAAATATTCCAGTCTTAAGGAGGTTAACAAAGGAAAGGTAACAATTTGCAGGAATTCAACGAATCAAATTGGTATTAGTAGTTTTAGCTATTTCCTATTTTCTCAGCTACTCATATCTATATCGATAATATATTACAGAATATGAGTGTGGAGAAAATTCAATATAGAAAACTTAATTCCCGGCCAATCAGAAATAAATGACACTTCAGAAAATATTTTATTTTAGAAACAAATATTTCATGTTAAATGTAAATAAAATGCTTGTATTGATTGTCTACTACTTCGACAAGGGTACCCAGTCATGTCTAATAAGACGGAGTTTTTATACCTGGGGTTGAGGAGTAGTTAGAAATTCTTAATTTGTGAATTGGGGTGGGGGTAAAAGAAATTGGTACCGCTAACGTCTTCTGTTTTAAAACCTAAAACGAAGAGAGTTATCATGAATGATTAAAAAAAAAAAAAATAATGGATATAATAAAAAAAAATGATGAAATAAAAAAAATAATGAAATAAAAAATATAATAAAAAAATAAAGAGAAAGAAAAAAAAAGTAGAAGTTGCTCCCCACTGACTTATGCGCAACAGAGTATGCGTTGAATCCATAACAAACTAAGAAATTTAAACATACCTAATGGGGGGGGGTATTTGCATATAAAAGCATTTCCGGTGTAGTCTACGTCCGTGTTGTTAAGATGAGTTTGCTTTATGTACTTGTTTTAAATTTCTCTTTGCTTATGTAGAGAAATTAAAATTCTAATTGTTACATATGTGCAGAAGTTTGTAATGAACCGTTCTCGGTATGGACTAGACATCACTTGTTTCCCGACAAAGTATTCGTATCCAATTGATAGTGTAAACAACTTCTAGTTACTTAAATCATAACTTGTCTTCCACTATGCATCACTCGACACTACTTAACAGCTGACAGTTCTTATCACACCCTATCTTCAGCCGAACACAAATGGCAGAAGTTGACATTACAATTACACGTAGTTTTTATTCAACTAACCAACATTTTCACATTGTATGACACTTTCTATCTTGGTAATAAAGTAATAAATATAATATTATATTTATATATATATATATATATATATATATATATATATATATATATATATATATGTGTGTGAGAGAGAGAGATTCGCAGACAGTGAGACTAGACAACCGAATGTCTCAAGCCCGGATGGAAACCCTACCGATTTTGTGTCAGTCAGATCTTCTACGACTGAGCCATCTTCACTCGACAGACCGAGTCAGCCAAATCGAGCGTATTGTTTTTACAAACGTAAACAAACGCCAAGCAGCCATAGTTCTCCATTCATTTTACTGAAGAGCTTCGCATTTAGTTTAATTTTATATATATAGTCTAATTATATATGTATTGATCTCCTTTAATACAATGATATTATAAATCTTTTTTATTTTTTTTAAAATCATGATATCATTAATTTATCATATTTCTTTCCTTCTTTCAGGTTCACCTATGAAGTTGCTCCGGTGTTTACCATAATGGAATCAGAAGTGTTGGAACGAATGCGAAATATCATCGGCTGGGAAAATGGAGACGGAATATTTTCTCCAGGTAATTGTTATTAGTAAATAAAGCCAATTCGTTGCAATGTAGAAGTGGTTCGCTTCTTACCAGCATAAATTTACCTGTTCATCTTGAGACTTCTGCAAGTCAATCACTATTCTGAATCAACTCGATATTCCTAGGGGCTTACGGCCATATCACTTTGAAAGCTTGGATGTGCGGGTGGTGTAACGATAATAGCTTGGAACTCGAAATAAGAGAGCAGAGTTCCAATTCGAACCAGGTTGGTTATTATTCACTTACGCGCATATGCCCTTGGGAAAAGTATGAAGCCACAACTTCTCCAACTATGGCTTAATTAGTATGACTTGTTTCAGTAAATCATAATTATCTCCCCCAAAAAGCTTACAATCTAAAAATATTTTCTGGCCTTAAATAACCTGCAAAAGGTTGATAGGCTGTAACCCCCGCTTCCGAAAAACAAGTCAATCAATCGCGATTCATTGATCCATTATTAATAGGAGTAAAAAGGTTCACCTATCATACGATTCATACTCCTGCCCGATCTTCTGAACAAGAGTAAAGGATTATCCCTTGTTTCCTGTTCAGGATTGGGTTTCTAGTTCCTTCTAATTTGTTTAGAACTTTCATGATAAAAAAATCGACTTCGATTGCCTTTTGTTCCCTGATGCACGCGTCCCTGTACGCCTTGAAAGATTTTTAGAGACACCAGCGCTTCACTATTTTCCTTTGTCAATAATAATAATAATAATAATAAACGTATGAACTACGGCCCTACGAGTATTTTCAGAACACTGGTAGTCTGCCTCAAAGCTGAAATAGTTATACATTTCCTATCGGAGGTTAGAGTTTAAATAAAAAATATCAAAAGCAGTTTTTTTAAGGTAGGTAAGCAATCATAGGCATAGTTCTTTAAAAGATTGGCGTTACACAGTCTTTCAGATTCCAGTCCTCCAACACCGTTTGTTTTGCGTCGAAGTGAGTTAAATCTCGAATCTGAGCTAAAAGCTTAGTGTTAAAAATCTGTTTTTGCTTGATTAGCCGATAAAATTTAGAAAAAATAATTCCACGGTACGAATCATATTTTTAAATATGAATATATTTCTATCGGAATCATCTTAATATTGTAGCTTCAGTTAAAACTTAAAAAGAAACTTTTTTTAATATAAAATTTTGTATACCACAAGTCATTCGAACAAGTGCTGCCATTCTTGTTTTTTATCAGGTTTCTGCTGATGCATTCTTCAGGTAGTTTTGTTTTTTTTACTTCCACGTCCCTTCAAGATGTAGGCGATCATGACCTTCCACAGATTCCTTTTATTTATTATCTGTGAATTTGTAAAAATAGTGGAGTGGTTTGCCTTGTCCTTCTCCACTGTTTGAAATTCAGAATCTCTTTCTCTGAGACTGATCGGCACCAAAGTCTACCTTGATAATCAATTCTTAGTGAAGGCGTTAGTACGCAAGTAAACGCAACAGAATAGCGAAGAATTTGAACTCGGCTCACCGATATCCGTCACACTACCTACACATCAATGACCGCATACAAATGTGTAAATTACCACTGCTTTATAGATAAAATTATCAAGAGAAAATAAAACACCCATCGGATAGTATACATCTAAAAGTGTTAAGAGAATGCCTCTGTTGAAACAGTGATAAAAACAGAACGAGAATTCAAGTCTAAATAAATCGTGAAATATTGATGCTTCATTTCAAGAATTCAAACTAACAAACTCTGTAAATTATTCGCTGCAAAATCTCTCTAAAATTTCGTTTATTCCACTGGCATGTAACTTACGATAATTATAAAGTCTTGTATCATTAAAAAAATGAAACTTGCATCAAAATAAGTTAAATGATAAGCTATAATTAATCAAGAATCTTATTTTCTTGTACAAATACAAAATCAAGTTCAACTAAAAACGCAACTGAGAGTCTTGTATTATTGAATAAATTAACAATTGCAGGTTGAAATATTGAAAGAATACATTACCATTAACATTTTTCACTTTTATTGTGTCTTAGGTGGCGCCATATCCAATTTATACGGAGTTCTCACAGCACGTCATTACGCATGTCCAGATATAAAAGAGAAAGGTTTACTCGGAATGAAGCAAATAGTCCTCTTTGCATCAGAACAGGTTTGTAGAGATTTTATTTCTTTCTTAATTGTTATATAAATTGATTAAAACATGCATGCGAATACACACACACTGAGGAGACGGTCAAATTCTACATTTTCTGTTAACCTATTTAAAATTTTAATATTGGTTGAATGAATGGTTTAATTAGAATTTACTTACTCCGCTAAAGTGATAGGTTTGACAATTTTTACAAGTGTAGCCGGTGTGCTGACTACGGTGTCAGAAAATACTCATAACCCCTCGGCATGTCACTTTTGGGATGCTTCAGGCCTCAGGGGTTGACTCTGAGCCTCTCCTTAAAGTGCTTAAGTACAAGAGAGTTCTTGCCTGCGGGGAAGATACCATAGCGTAGAGATATATTTATTACCTCGGGTATGAATGGTCAGACATTTTTTTTTTGTCGTTTATATATATTAGGTGAACAGAGTTTAAATTTAGGTAGAGTTAGTTACACTTTCGCATAAATACCCTTGGGAAAGGTATGAATATAATCTCTCCTCCCTCCGGCTATGAGTCGGCGAGCGGAACTCTCAAGCCGTGGTTGGAGAGGGAAAGCACTGAATTAAAAACTCAGTTAACTGAAGCTATACTAAGATGGTAACAGTGGTTACAGATAGTGCCTGTAAAATAAAAACGCAATAGATTTCAGCAGTTATGGATAATCCCATTGGAGAGCGATTATACAGAATGCTGTTGACACCACTGGACATTGAACTTAGGGAAGAATGGGAAAGACAGGATTCGGGAAGACAAACATTGTTCAAATAATTACCGTATACCATTAAGATGTTGGTGATTTATTAAAATAAAACTTATGAAATTTCATAAGGTAACAAGCCACTTACCTTACGATGCGTGATTGGATGTCAGAATGGGTAGCGGTAGCAAAAGTAGAAAAAACTGGTAAGAGCCACAAGAGATAGGAAGTTGAGGCATGATCGCCCATGTCCTAAAGGGACGCGACACAGAGAAGAAAATTGGTAAATATTTTCCACTCATCACTAAATACATGGCATTTGATATTTTCCAATAGGACTAAATTGAATGTTATATTATTACTGGCGTTTCTAAAATATTTTCTAGTATTTCTCCTTCAATTTGTAATCGTCAGTGCAACTGGTTTTTCCAGTTGAATAAATGTGACTGTCGATTGACACTAATAAAAGAAAAAGATATCCAATTCCGTTGATTACAAAGGACGAAAGCTTCGAACCATCTGTGCAGCACGTAATCAATTGGAGCAGCTGCTGCTGCTGCCGTCATATCACAATCTTCCATTGATACTTAAAGGTTTACTCATTTTCTTTCCAACAGACTTCATAAAGATGAGCCGAGAAAACTTCATTCGCTCAAACTGCTTGATGTTTCAATTCGACCAATCCAATCATTTTGCCAGCCACTTACTACACACAAAGAATCATGAAGAAAAGATACAAGACACCCAAATCCGTATGTGTCCAAGAAATCCGACAGTAAATAACAGATAGGAGGAAATATTCATTTGAAATAGACGTGCTTACAACAGCTGTAATTAATATTCCATTTGTTGAATACTGCGAGGAAAGTTCAGAAAATAACGCCTATTTATTTCTAAGGATACTACAACAAATACAAAGGACACAATAACACCGTTGGACCGAGCAAGTTTTCAGCTACAAAACATTTTTCATACAGTCACCACCACTGGTTATGCATATTCGCCAGCGATTAAAAATTGATGAGGAAATTTGCATAACACCAAGGAGAGTTGTTTTGATTCATGCTCGTAGTAGTAACGCCATGTCTCATCACTGATGACAATGTGGTTCAGGAAACTTAGCGTCCATTTTAACTATCACTGTTCACGAATAGTTTTTAAATTTGCATATAACGAAGTCTGATGAAAAGGTATCGAGACTGTTACTATGATAACAGAGCTAAAGTAAGTATAGTGAATCTGATTGGTATAGATTGACCTTGAACTCTTTCGCGCATGTACACTAAGTTTTAACGTTCTTGATCAAATCCATTTTTTATAGCAGTGCTTTGGAGAAAAAGTGTGTAGAGTGTGGTCGTCTCACCACACACCACAAGTTCCATCAGTGACCACGGCTTTTGAAGCAGTCTTTGGCCAAGATCAGCAATCCCAAGGTCCGACAGCCGTCATATTCACCAGACCTCGCACATTGCAGTTTTTTCCTTTTTCCAAAAATCAAGTCCCATTTGAAAGGAAGCTTTCAAGACGTCGAGGAAATCCAAGAGAATGCAATGAGGCAGCTGCTTACTATCCCAAAAAAGGAGTTCCAGGAATGCATCCATCAATGAAAATAGCGCTGGATAAAGTGTGTGGATTCAGAAGGGGGACTACTTCGAAGGAGATTAAATGCCGAATTGGTGTGCTGTTTTGTTTTTATAGCACAAGTCCCGATACTTTTTGATCAGATCTCATATATATATATATATATATATATATATATATATATATATATATATATATATATTATACAGAAGTATAATTATTATTGAATATAGGTTGTACCATAATTATTCGTGTATAACACGCACTTTTAAAGCTTAAGTTTTAGGGGTCCGTATTATACACTAGAAGTATCAATATGGGAAACAGTAATAAGGGGTGCCAGAGAAAAGCAATGATAACAAAGTTGCAATATGAACTCTGGTAAAGACATGCAATGATAACAGCAAAAATTGCAATATGAGCACTGGTAAAAATGATGCTGAAAACATTAGGTTTATAATACTCAGAAGTTCATACCCAGATGTCCTCAAGGACACATGGCACAGTGGATAAAGGCGTTGGTTAGATCCAGTGACAGACCCAAAGAAGGTGAGTTCAATTCCTGGTTAAGGCAGTGGAGAACTTTCAGAGGGAAAATTAGCAGGAGATAACTGACATCCATCAAACATGGCACGTGGAACTAGCCAACCACCTGAAGAAGGCCGAAACGTTGTGACAAATATGGCGACAAAGATGAGGACAATAGTCCGACTAATGTAAATACTACACTAGAAGTAAGTATTAACTTTTGGGGCGGTCAGGTATGTCACCATATTCGGGATGGTAAGTTTTATCAATAGCCCAAACTGACGTATCACAAATATATTAAACACGTTTTAGTTTGCTTCAGTGCTGTCTGTGTCAAAAAGAGACGTCCTGACAGTTACATCTATGTTGTCAGGGCAGTAGATGATTTCGTCATCTTCAATGTTGCTGTCGTCGTCCACAGTTATTTTGTCATTGTTCCTAAAAAAGGAAGTAAATTTTCTGTTTCAAAATACTGTAAACTCTATAAATTCTTATTTTTGTCGATACGAAAGTGATAAAAAGTTGCACAAATGTTAAGCTGCTACAAATTATTATACAAGAGATTTTTCCATAATTTTGTAGGTCAAAGTTAGGACTACGTATTAAATAAACCATGGGGTTATACTATGGGAGTAGCATCCCGATCTCAGACTTTCTCGGAAAGAAGAAGTCGTCTTTTCATGAAACAAAATAAGAGACACCTATATCACTCATTTCTAAAAACAAACAACCTCCTGACATACTGTAAAACATATTCTAACCGATTGTAGTGACCTTGTCCCTATACTTCAACAATTTTATAACATGATTATTCTAGATGACCTTTTCAAGAAGATAAAAGTATCTGAGAAAGTTGGTTCACTGTGTCGTGCTAGACAATTTTTCTCGCCAGAATCTATCTTACATATCTATAAGTCTGCCATTCGTCCAGGCTTAGAATATTGCTGCCACATCGGGTGTGGAGCTTCTGCTATATAATTAGAGATTTTTGATAAGATCCAAAGAAGAATCTGCAATGTTATTTGTCTTGACCTGGCACCTTGGCTTCAATCATTTTTCCAGCGCCGTAACGTAGCTTCCTTGTGTTTTTTCTATAAATTTTTTCATGGTAATTGTTTTGAGGAATTTTCCGCTATGGTACAGAGGCTATGACTTTAAGCGCAGTACTAGATTGGCGGTAAGGTTTTTTTAAAAATTTTTTTCAGTAAGGTTCGCCTTGTACACGACACTGAGACCACTCAAGGTAGAGGGTTACATTAAGAGGCAGTTTATGCGGATAGGAGAGGAAAATAACGGTTAACCCTAGACTTGAACAGGTTAAGATTGTGACCAGGAAAACATCCTCTTGGGAGTCGGTCCCACAGATCAGTGGTTCACGGGAAGAAGCTGTTCGAGTGGAACTTACTTTTCACCAATGGAATACGGAGGGAATGTGGGTGGTTTCCTACAATGTGAGTGGTATGGCGGGTCCTAGCCATGAAGGTTAGAACTAGTAGAACCAAAGAATGTAGTTCGTTCGAGTATTTTTCATGGAAGTAACGATAGACCAGTCAAAGGCTTGCTACGTCCCGCCTGTGAAAGAGAAGTTGGAGGGTGAAAAATTATTTGTCATCCACAATGACTTGGAGACGCTTCTGGGAATCTATCGAAACTGGAAAGTTAGGCCTGATCTGACACTTGTAAAAAGTAGAGGATAGCATGTGGAGTCAGGTTCCTACTGAAGCGGTATAGGGAGCCGACCATTTTTTTCTGTATTGCGATGGATCGTACGTACGAGTTCCAGGTGTGAGCTTAAGGCCCAATAGACTCAAGGATCAGAGCATCACCGAGGGGGCATCCATTTATCGTGTCTAGCAGTAGTTCGGTGTCCGATCGACGATCATGGAATGTAACAAGTGCGGTTTTCGAGACATTGAATGTAACCAGCCAGTTTTTTTTAATAACTGAGGAGTTAGTGCTTATAGTATCGGATAAGAGATCAGCTGCCCGTATATCGTCGTATCATCGGAATAGATGTTCACAAATAATCTGAGTATATTCTGAGGCAGATCATTTATGCAAAGCAAAAAGAAGGTTGGTCCGAGAAGTGATGACGCCTGCATTGACCGCCAGGGTTATTTTAAGTTTAAATGGCTAGATGTAGCCGCAAGTTCTATGTTAACAGTTTCTTCTTTCGCACTTCTCGTTTGTGGTAATCTTTTTTGGTTTATTGTCTTTATCGTCTGTCTTT